GACAGGGGGCGGGTGCCCCCAACCCCCCCAATCAGCCCTACCCTGAGCGTGACTGGAGGGTGGCATCCCAAACCTCCCAAATCCGCCCTGCTCTGTGTGTGACAGGGGGCAGTGCCCCAATCCCCCACCTCTTGCCCTGCTCTGAGCCTGACCAGGGGCTGCACCTAGGGATTGGGCCTGCCCTCTGCCACCCGGGAGCAGGCCTAAGCCAGCAGGTCGTTATCTCCCGAGGGGTACCAGACTGCCAGAGGGCACAGGCCGGGCTGAGGACCCCCCCCCCCCACCCCCGCCCGTGCACAAATTTTTGTGCACCGGGCCTCTAGTATTATATAAATGGAAATCTTAAGTATAGGCATGGGCTCTGCTAGTCAATCAATACTGATGGATACAGAAAGGCATATAAATAATGTTTTACCCTTTTTGAACAAGAATCTGTTCATCTCTCAGGGCTCAGCTTACATTATTCAATAAATATTTATTTAATGCTTCTCATGTGCCCAAAACTGCTCAATGTCCCAGTACAAAGCTGTCCACTAAGATTTTCTGAGATGACAGAAAGAGAAGCAAAAGCCATTGCCAATGTGGTGACTGAGCATTTGAACTACAGTGGCTACTGTAAACAGAATGGAATTTTAAATTTAATTTAATTTTAATTAATTCAAATTTAAATAGTCAAAGGTGGCTAATGGCCAGCATATTGGACAGGGCACCCCTAGTGTTAAATAAACAAGATAGACAAAGACCCTACCTTCATGAAGTTTACAATCCAGTATGAAAAAAATATATTAAACAAATAAGCCAATAAATGTATAATTTCGGGTGGTGGCTGGAAGTGGTGTCTTTTGGAAAGGGTGATTAGAGAAGGCATCTCTAAAGAAATCTGGATTAGGTACTGCCCTTCCGATAAGCTCCCATGAATCCTACCTACACTAATAGCACTGAACTCTATTGAAACTGCTTGCTTATCTTGGTCAGCTGTATTCCAGCACCTAACATACTAATAAATGTTTCCTGAACAGTATGCAGAAATAATCTATAAAACTTACAAAACTGACCCAGACACTGTTCAAAACACATCAAAGACCCAGAGTTCAGAAAATGTGGAGAGAGATCAGAGCAAAAACCACCTGCTCTTCCCATGCAGTCTCACGCAGCTTTGGAGCCTCACCTCAAACAGCAATGCAGAGCAGACTCCCCCTCCTCCCGTCCTTCCCGTCCCCAGACTTTTCCTCGGAATGACTAATTCACAGTTTCTCAGCCTCTGCCAGATCACACTCTCACTGCAAATACCCTCTCCCAGGCTGCTTCAAGCAGCACTGCACCTCCTTCGCCAACCTTCTCTATCACTAGATTTCCAGTTCCTGGAAAGTTCATTTCTACTCAAACCTCAGAGGATCTCTGCTGCTCCTATACATCAAACACAAGACAGTCGTTCGGTTACGAGTTAATGCGTCCAATACATGGTAAAGGATGGAAACAGACTTGTAGTGATGATGGCCCAAGAGCATATACAGATATCGAGTTATAATGCCGAACACCTGAAATTTGTATGTTATTAACCAATGCTACCTCGGTTTAAAAAAAAAAAAAAGAGCCAATGAATTGGGAAAGGGCAACACAGGAGAGGCTGTTTATCTAAAATATGATGACAAACGCTTTGTCTTTTTCCTTTTATCCTCGAAAGTGATGAGGCCGGGAAGACGGAGTGAAAAAGCTCGGAGTGGACAGGGTACATGGTCGGGAAGTGAAAAAGGCGGAAACTGCAGCCTGCCAAAGCCCTAGCGTACAGCTCCCCGAGCCTCTCGCCGCAGCTCGGAGGGAAGAGAGTGCTCACAGGGCCAGCGCAGAGGGGAGGCGCGGGGCAGGGGCAGGGGCAGGGGCAGGGGCAGGGGCAGGGGCAGGGGCAGGGCAGCCCCCCGCCGCGCCTACTTAGCGGGCCGGCTCCGCGGCGGAACAGCGCCGGGGCCCGGACCCCGGGCCGGCCCGGTTGACTGTGGCCACCAGTTACCTGCTGGTCTCCAGCGAAGAATAGCGCTCCGGCAAAACCTGGAGGCAGCGCTGGAAGAACCGCACGTGCCGGTCCCGCAGGAAATCCAGCCGCTCGCCTTCGCAGTCCCCCGCCAGCTGCCCGTCCTCCGCGGCCGCCATGCTGCTGCGGAAGCGACGCCGGCCGTGACCCGGAAGCACTTGGCGAGCGGCGCGAGGGAGTCCCGAGGAGCTGAACTGGGTGGACTTACTGGAGACGCCGTCACTGGGAAGTCCGACGCCGCCCTTGATCGCCGGATTTCTTCTTAGGAAGAGCACGACCCACCTTTCCTACTCTAAACCCCAAAGCTTCGGCAACACCTCGCCAGCCTCAAGTTCGGCCCACAAATCTCTCTCGTACTCTTACCCTCCTTCGGCCTTTGGGAGGAAGCGCAATGTCCATAGTTTCAAGTGCTTGCTGAGAACATCAGGCCCCAAAGGTCACGAGGCGGGTATATATGAAAACAGGAGCGGCTCGATAGAAATGTTCCAACAGACTCATGCGGGGGGTGGGGGGACACGACAGTTTTAAGCTGAATGGATACGTTACTAAACCTACAGTTCAATCTGTGGATATAAATAAATGTTTAGTAAGTGATTACTGACACTACAAAAGTTGAGTCGTTCCCAGTTCTCGAGAATATCAGAAATCACGTTTAAATATATCTAAATGCAATATGCATGCACAACATATATTCACACAGGTGACTGCGTTTTTCTTTTACAAGTTTTAAGTTTTACTCTTTGAGTCAATGTTTTGACTTCATCACTGTTTTATCAATTTGCAACAGCAAGGAAGCTCCACCTATTCTCCAACTACCCATATACTAAAAACAAATCACATGTTACTATTTTTTCAAAAAGAGGGATTTAAGTTGCTTCAGCATTTCCCTTTAAAACTTCATAACGAAATGTTGAGAGAAAAAGAAATCCACCCAAGGATCAGGCCTAAACAAGATATTTTTGTTTTGTTTTATAATCAATTAAGCTAATAGAAGTTTGGGTATAATTTTAATTAATAGCTTTGTTAGAAAATTTATTTCATGGAGTGTATCACGTGGGCTGGAGTTATACTTATTCACCAATCCAAAGTGCCTTGCATAATTTTAGGTACTACTTACAGGTTTACAGGCTTTCCTGCGTGTCTTTAACAAACGGCTGGGTATAAGCAGAGGCTGCCCTTGGTGCTTCTCTACAACTATGGAGTCCACAGTCCTCGCCCTTCAGGCATGCCCTATCTAGAGAGTTTTCACTACAGTATTACAATCACACTCTCTCTCACTTACACACACACACACACACACACACACACACACACACGTCAGATGTCTGAAGATGTTCAAAGTGGAGTCCTATCACATACATTTAACTTACTAGAATCAACTATGCACACTCTATGCTCTGAAAGACAATCCTCTTCAACCTGGCTCTTAAAAGGATTGGACAGGGTACATGGTCGGGAAGTGAAAAAGGCAGAAACTGGAGCCTGCCAAAGCCCTAGCATCCGATTCTCAGCTCAAGAATCAGCAATCTGATCCAAATCAGGAGGAAATACTTCTATGATGGGCTCATTGAAAAATAATATTATATACTTCTAGGTAAAGAAAAGCCTTTTCATGGGTGATTTTGATCATACAAGGTTTCTGACATATCCATGACAGAATCTATTCTAACCCCTACAAAAAATGCCACTCAACATTAGCTAAGAAGTATAAATAGCTCAAGTCTTCAAAGTATGAGAAAGATGGAGCATCCTCATTATAATTGAATCTTATTTAGTCATTAAGTGATAATGTCTAAATTATGTAGAAAGATAGAAAAATATGTGTAATGTAAAGTGCTTACAGTATAGTAAGTAACTTACTCTGACTATAGCTATTTAAAAATATGTAGGTATGCTTTTGGAAAAAGTTACCCAGGGGTGGTTGAATTGGTGCTTTATAACATTTTTGTGTGTGTTTTTTTATCTAAATTTCTTATTAATATACTTTTTAAATCAGTTTAAGAAATGTTTATTTGACATCTCTTCTATGAGCTTGCAACTGAAGACACTTATGTTGTTTATTTTATGTAGTCTATATAAAGAGGCATACAACAAATTCCTCATTCACTTTAGATTCACTTAGAAGGACTGGTTGTTCAAAGAAACTTCCATACTTTCTATTATTAAAAAAACAAACAAAATAAAAATAAACAACCCCTCCCCCCATACAGCATTACCCACTATGCTTACCTTAGATGCAGGAAATTGAAAGCTGCATTTGTGTGCAAAAAAAGGCAACATGTTAGTAAGTAGCACATGAAAACCTTTACTTTTCTGTATCTTCTTAGTTGTTCAATTCTATTTTTAAATTCCCTTGTCCTATTCTATATTTTATTCTAAAATGCCTCAAATCATTTTTAAAATTCATGGAAAATGAGTACTACAAATAAAATGTGCATTCCTGATTAAGGATGTTTTACATTAATTCTCCTATTTTGCACCAATAACTGTATAAGAATTCCGTTCCCTTTAGAAATTATATTTACTTTGAATCGTAAGTGTGAAATAAGAAAAAGTTTTGACTACTATTACTCATAGTAAATTTGAGTCATTTGACCTAAATGTATCAAGTTACATCTAAGATAAAAATCATAAGAAATAAGTTTCCTATGTTTATTATGTATATGGTAACTTTCCTATAAGCCAGTGAGACCTAATTAAAGTTAGGAGCTAAGATTTTATATGAAAAGTTGAGCCGAATTGTTACATTGTGTTTTCATGTACCAAAGTTTGTAAATTTTAAAAGTAACTATTTTGAACAAATATTTTGAGGCAAACAAGCAGAAAACTGAATCAGGCAGGAAGATATGAAAGACACAAAGATTTTATAAATGTGTGAAGTCCAGAAAGGCTGAAAAGAAAATTGGAAAAGCTAAAGGAAACCGAAAAGATTTTATCAATAATACAAATAATAGAGTATAAATGAGGTGTGAACTGTGAGGCATATTTTTAATATAAATACTTGATATAAAACAAAGCATGCTTCGAACAAATACAAAATATTTATTACATAAAAATGTAGTAACTGATAAACTACCAGTTTGTTAAATTAGAAAAAGTACTAACTTATTTCAAAATTCAAACCAAAAAAACTTTACATTTTTGTTACTCAAGCTAACTTACCTCCAAAATATAAATGTTACAAAATTTTGGTTTGAAAATGTCATTCTGTGATTGTCCCAACTTATTTTGCTGTGCCATGCCAAAAACAAAGTATCTTTGAAATGTTCTGAGTATTTAAATGAAAGTATTTGTAACATAAACTTATTCAAAAAACTTTTACATAATAATAGGCCAACATACACATTACATACCCTCTTGCTATAAACAGGAAATACTAATGACAATACTACTTGGAACTCAACATCTGTCAATTCACATACAACACCATAATCAGTCTGTCTAAGCTAGTGATATTTAAAAACACATGTGGTTAATCACTCTGTTCTATTCAAGCTGAATATGCTAACATTCCCATCAACTGAATACCAGTTTCATTATCTTATATTCTTTTCTAAACTCCTTGTCTCCAGGTTGGAATAGCCCTAAGGAGAAGAAGAGAAGAGCAATTATAAATATGCAGAAAATTTTTATAAAGATCCTAACTGATTAGATGTTAACTTCTATTTCTTTTATTTGAATTTTTTTATAAAGCAAGTTTTACTCAGGTAGAGAAAAAGTAAGAGACCAGGGTGCGGGCATCAGTGTGAAACAAGTGAAAAGTATGCAACCAAGTGAATGTGGGCCAACTCGAGTTATGCCAATTAAATGTTAACTTTTAAAAATATATGTAGATTTATTTTGATCACTTTTTTACTGTAAAATATAATATACATATCAAAGTTGCACAAAATATAAACATGGTTATTTTTTAAAATATTTTTATTGATTTCAGTGAGGAAGGGAGAAGGAGAGAGAGAAACATCAATGCTGAGAGAGAATCATTGATTGGCTGCCTCCTACACGCCCCCTACGGGGAATGAGCCTGAAACCCGGGCATGTGTTGTTACCGGGAATCAAACCATGACCTCCTGGTTCATAGGTCAGTACTCAAACACTGAGCCATGCTGGCCAGGCGAAACATGCAGTTATTAAATTATTATAAAGTCAACACTCATTCTAACGCCTCTTTACCTATGTGGGATATGTAGAAGTGGCCCAGAGCTTGTTGGTCCTAAATTTTTGGTCCGTTCTTCCCAACCTTTGGTAGGTTTGTAAAGCCTAGAAGGATCTCTGCTAACATTGTTTTCAACCTGTAATCAGAAGTAAAATGAATCTGAAATAATTAACATTGTATTTGTGATCCTTACTAAGAAAAATACTTGATATTAAAAACTGTTAATAACCTCTTCTGTAAACTTTTTATTGTGTTCATATAGCTAAAATAAAAGTTGGACCACACCAATCTATCAATAAATTGTTACTTTAGTTTCTTTTTTTAGTTCAATTATTTTATTCTGTTTATATTATGAAGGAAATATGATGCAGCAAGTGGTGGCACAGCCAGGTAATAAATTTAGGATAAATATCCACCAGTAAGTTCTTTGTTTTGTCGAGAGTCACCTATATCTTTAGCTTTGAGTATCACCAACTGAGATTAAACAATGTGTTTATAATGTGAAATGGTAGAATTCAAACAATAGTTTAAATTGTACTAAGCTATGCTAAATAAGTACATTTTAAAGAAGATGGTACAGAAATCAAGCTGGATATAAAGAAAATGGATGTTTGTATCCTTACAAACCAAGGAATTAGGATAACAATAAAAATAAATTAATCTCAGTACAGAGCACCTTTTTTTTAAATTTTGCCAGTCTTCTTTGTTTTTCTGCCTTTTCATCTTCTTTTGACTGTCTATCAAGAATTTTCAGTTCAAGTTTACGTAAATCCTAAAAAACATATGCCAACAAAAAAGATAACATGAGAAAGTAAAATCAACTAAAATTTGTTTCAAACTTTAGTTGCTTGGAAGTAAAATTAAATCACCTTAAATATCAATATTCCTTCAATACTAACCTTTTCCAACGAGAGTAAAAACTTTGTTTTCCTTGAAAATAAATGTGACACGTGCACATCTTTTGGAATCATTTTATGTTGGTTATTTCTTATCTTAATAGGTGAGTTAAGCCCACTTTCAGTACAGATATGTCTGGTTTTAGATCTCTCATATTTGGGGCATTTTGTTATTTAGGGAGATATTTTTATAGAGACTAAAAGAAATTCCACTAATAATGTGTTTTGTCTAATTTTTTGTATTTCTCTTATTTTTGCTTTATAGATATTGCTATGTGTTTTTTTAAAAAATATATTTCTTTATTGATTTCAGAGAGGCAGGGAGAAGGAGAGAGAGAGAGAAACATCAACGATAAGAGAAAATCATTGATCGGCTGCCTCTTGCACCCCCCCCCCCCCACTGGGGATCAAGCCCGCAACCCAGACATGTGGCCCCGGCCACAATCGAACCTGGGACCCTGCAATCCACAGGCTGATGCTCTATCCACTGAGCCAAGCCGGCCAGGGCGATATTGCTATGTTTTATCTCATTTGCATCCTTTTTCGTTTTAAAGTATATACACTTCTTTGTCTTTTTGAGACTCTTTGGACTGAATTCCACTTTGATAAAATTATAATCTCTTTGATTGCATTTTCTTATATATATGTGTTTTTAAATCACTTATGATCCTACCTCTCAGCAATAACCTTGATTCCTTTAAGTATACACTGAATATCTACAATGTACAGGTTACAGGAATAAACAAAAGGACAAAATCTCTGCCCTTGTGGAGCTTCTATTATGTTGGGAGATGGACAGTGAACAAGTAAGGAAATCATCTGTGGGGAAAAGTCAGTCAGTTTGGCAAAGAAAAAGTAGTCTAGCCTGTGGCTACCTTTCCAGCCTTGTCTCTGGCTGATTCCCACCTTCCATCTGATGCCCTTAGGATACTGAAGTGTTTATGGGTTCCCCCACAAACCACTGTTACACTTCTCCAAGCTGCCATTCATGCTGTTCTCTTCGCTAGGAAAGATCTCCCCTTTCTTCTTCAAGACTCAAATATCTTAGTGTCTCTCTAACACTAATAGCTATGTTCATAAGCTACCCTCCCTGCATACCCATCTCCTAAGATTCTCTGTCCATAATTACCTCAATCACTACACTATTTACAATATCATACAGAAATATACTTGCACATCTATCTTTCCCATTAGACTATAATATACTAGAAATGGGGGGGTCGGGGGGAGGAATGAGGGAGCATTGGTAGGTAGAAGCCTAATATAATAGAAGCACTCAATTTTTCCTGAACTGAATCTGGAAGTAATACCTCTATTGGTAGTAATACCACTAAATAATTTCTAAAATTATTTAGAAAACATATTTACTCACTCTTTCTTGAAATCTGGAAATTTCATCAGCAACAGTTTTCCTTTTTTCTGCCTTTTCTGTCTTTTCCCTTATCTCCTTTTCAAGTCTTAAAAATTCTTCCTGTTCTTTCTTCTGCTGGGTGTAGTTTTCTAGTAGTAATTTTAGTTTAAACTGGCGTTGGCGCTCTTTCTGCTGCCTTTTCTCTTTCTCTTCCTCTTCTTTTAACTGGGAAGCATATTTCATTGACATTTCTATACTTTTCTGTTTTTTCCAAGCTTCCACTGCCAATTTCTGCTGCTTTCTTTGTTCCTCTTTTTGCTTTTGATTATCTTCTTGTTTGTTATGAAAAAGCATAGGCATGTCCTCTGCCTTTTCCTTGAAAATTTCCTTTTTTTGAAACTTTTTAGTTTTCCAATTCTGAATAGACTGATTAAGAAAATATAATGAGGGAAAAATAATTTTAATAACCAAAAGCACTTTAAAAATACAACCTCAAGTCCATCTTTCTTGAAAGAATATTGGTTGCAGGATGCTTAGGTTTCCAAGTGTTTTGTTTGTTTGCTTGTTTGTTTTTTAACCAGTGCAATTTTTCTACTTCTGTTTTTAAAAATTAATGTCTCTTAAAACACTGAATAATGATTTATTCTTTTGGCCTTTCTTGTCCTCTCTTAACCCCCAGGTTCACAAAGATTGCACCTCATCTGTTTGTGTTCATGGGAAACATTCTTTTCCTCTGATCATCTTACTTATGCTTCCAAATCCTCTTTCAAGGCTTAAAATCCTTTCTGAGTGACCCTCCTTTGTTCAATTACCAGAAGAGGAACTAAGAGTGGTGTGGTTGAGAGTATGGGCTCTGAAGTCAGACCATTTAGAACCAAATCATGGCTTTACCATCTACTAGGTGTGACCTTGGATGAGTTACTAAGTTACTCTGTCTTCATTTTGCTCATCTGTAAAAGTGGTAGGTAATACCTCTCCAGCAGGGATATTGCAAATATTAAATGAGTCAGTCCCTGGGAGGTAGTGCTTCATAAGTGTTTAAAAAAAAACAAACAAATTAGCTTCATTGCTTTACCAGGGTATGTAAAGATTATTTAAAATACTAGCAGCCTTCCTTATGCCATAAAGGATACATCCACTGAATTCCTTTACCCTCAAGTCAGGAAACTGTTCCCTCATCTTTCCTCATGGTGTATCATTCATTTATTCATTCAGCACATTCCTATCATATGCGTACGCTATGGAAGGCAATGTGATAGGAATCATAGATGATTCAAATAATACCAAATGACATCTAGTATAGTGCTACTCAATGTGCCAGTCCACAACAATTTCAGAGATTCATGCCAGAATGTAAATCAATGTACTGCTTCCTTCAAAAAGAGGGTTTTCTATTTTTTTTTTAAGTCAAAACTGAACTAGTGTGCTTACTGGGCAGCTGATTCTAGTTCAATCACTTTATCTCACTGAAGACCAGTAACAGTTTGCAACCTAACAGCCAGTCCATGGACCAAGTTTGAGTAGCACTGTTCTAGGTGAGATAATATATATGCATAAGTACCAGAATATATTCTAGAATATATTATGATGTGCTATAGCACTACATAAAAGAGGTATAAACAAAGTGTTAGTAGGAAATTCTGAGAGGGACTACTTATGTTTGAGTGGACAAGAAGGAAGCATCTTATCTGGGCAGATTTTGATAACTGGGAGTTGAGGGGAAAGAAAGGAGGTTCCAGAAAGTGGGAATAAGATAAACAAGGGTATTCAGGCCAGAAAGTTCAGGGCATATATGAAAATAAGTATCTTTAGGCAAACGGTGATAAAAATGGTAAATCTCCTACTCAGCATCTTAAACTGAGTCGGTTTAAAACTACATTTTGCTGCTTTCCCCCAAGTTTCCTCCTCCTCCTCCATGTCCTACTTCAGTAATTTTACCTCCATTTTCATACCCCCTCCTACCTCACCTCTTCAATCAATCAATCATTAAATATCAGGAAACAGTGGTCGGGAACTAGCTAGAACCAAGGTGCATTACCTTTACTACATGAGGCACTGTGTCTAGAGAGGTGGTTCTTAAACGTTAGCTTATAACAGATTAACCTAGAGGACTTGTTAAAACACAATTCCTGAGCACCACCACCAGAGTTTGGCTTAGGTCTATGGCTAGGGCCTGGTAAGTTTAATAAGCTCCCAGGTAATGTTGACTTTGCTAGTCCAAGGACCACTTTGCTGGTCCAGGGACCCCATGTTTTCAGTATCCAGGAAAAAGCCTAAATAATTCCTAATAGCTTGTTATTTTTGAGTTTTTAAAAATTACTTATGTTTCAAAATTTTTCTTAATACATTAAGCGCCAAGCCTGTTTTGTCTTCCTTTCCGTTTCAGTCACTGGTGACTGACATGGCGCTTAATGTGTTAAAGTCCCAAATTTCAATCTTCTTACATTTAACTTATTTAGGAGAGAAAAACAAGAAACACAAGCTATTTCCTCTAAAAATTTAGACTAAACATGGGATCAATATTTCTTTAATACTCCTGGGGCAAGTCATCTGTTGAATAGTCATACTCAAGCGAGTTAAAGTTTATAATAGTTGACTTCTACAAAAAAATGTGACTCAGACTTTGAGTGTCTGAACCCATGGTTCCCAACTTTACCCTCTGGAGACATTTTTGATAATCACAACTAACAAGGTGTTACTAGCATCTAATGCAGTGGTTCTCAACCTTCCTAATGCCGCGACCCTTTAACACAGTTCCTCATGTTGTGGTGACCCCCAATTTCATTGTTACAAATTGAACATAATTAAAGCATAGTGATTAATCACAAAAACAATACGTAATTATATATGTGTTTTCTGATGGTCTTAGGCGACCCCTGTGAAAGGGTCGTTCAACCCCCAAAGCGGTCGAGACCCACAGGTTGAGAACCGCTGATCTAATGAGTGGAAGCCAGGAATGTTGCCAATTATCCTACAATGCACACAATAGAATTTACAGCAAAGAATTATCTACCCCAAATGGTTAACTGTGCCAAGGTTGAGAAGTCCTAACAAAACCAAAGCCAGAATAATATTTTTGTGAAAATGAAACTTTTTAGATATTTGCTACACTTAAGAGTTAGTTACTCTTTTCTCTGGGGTAGTCAAAATCTTGAGTCTTTTCAAATAAGCAATGGAGCTGAAGTTCCAAACCTCAATGAAACTTTGAAGAGTGAAAATTGTTTTTCTATTACCTCTTTATATTTCACTAGAGGCCCAGCGCATGAAATCACGGAACCCTGCCCACCACGCTCGCACCCCGCACCTGCTCATGCCTCGCTGCGCTTGCAGCCTAGCTGTGCTCATAGCCTCGCCTCGCTCACCTTGGGGCGCCCGCCTTGCCATGCCCATCCGCTCAACACCCTGCCCGCCAGCCACCAGCCTTGCTGTGATCAGAGCCCGTGGGCTGCGGGGGAGGGACTGAGAGGTGCTCCATGCACTTCATGGTGACTGGTTGTATGGTTGTTAAAGCGTTATAGACTAGAGGCCCAGTGCATGAAATTCATGCATGGGGGCGGGGGGGTGTACCTCAGCCCGGCCTGTACCCTCTCTAATCTGGGACCTCTCGGGGGATGTCTGACTGCTGATTTAGGCCCTGCGGGATCAGGCCTAAGCCAGCAGTCAGATCCCTCTCACAATCCGGGACTGCTGGCTCCTAACTGCTCACCTGCCTGCCTGCCTGATTGCCCCTAACTGCTTCTGCCTGCCAGCCTGATCGCCCCCTAACTGCTCCCCTGTTGGCCTGATTGATGCCTAACTGCTCCCCTGCCAGCCTGATCGCCCCCAACTGCCCTCTCCTGCCAGCCCAATCGCCCCCACTGCCCTCTCCTGCTGGCCTGATCGCCCACAACTGCCCTCCCCTCTGCGACCTGCCTCCCCTGCCGGGACCCGCCTCCTCCCTAAGAGGCAGCAGAAACACCGGGACCAGCCTCCTCCATGCCACGTGGAGCCACGGGACCCCCAGGCCTCACTGCGCAGAGCGGCCACTGGGCCCCGCCTCTGCTGTGCGTGCGGCCATCTTGTGGTGGCCATCTTGTGACAATGTCGTACGCGAGGACCACCTAGGCTTTTATTAGTATAGACCGAAAACCATGTGGCCTTTGCTGGTAGGCTGCCTTTTATCAAAAGCCTGAGTATATCTGGATTTCCCACATTTCTGGTGGATATAGAAGGTTTTACCCACAATCAGAAGTTTTCTGGCCCACTATATTATTTCTTGGGGTAGAAATGTTTGGCCTTCAGAAAGTCCAACTATAGTTCCTTTAGTTAAGTTACTCAAAACTTCCCAATGCCTGTTGCACCTTCTGTAAGATGGGGAGAAAACTGCAATATACCTCATGGAGTTGTTGTAAAATTAATAAATGTTAAAGAGTTTAGCACAGTAGCTGGAACAGAGAAAAATACAACAAATAACAGCCATAATAATTATTATTACCTCTTTTTTCCTTTCTTCTAGGGCCAGAAACTTTTGATACCATTTCTCATGCTGTTCAACTTCATCCTGTGTTCTTCCAGGAAGATGTTCTAGAACGTCTCCCATAAATGTTGGCTTCCCTTTATGTTTGTTTCTCACTTTTACAAAGTTCTGGTGATCATAATCATCCCAGCCCCCTTGTCGCCCTCCTGTTTGCTGAAGGAATTTTTCAAAATCCACAACTTCTTCTGGAAGAGTACTTGGTGCTACTCTGTCTACAGGAACTTTGCTTGACATCACTCTGAAAGCTTTCTCTGTTTCTGAACTACCCAAAGCCCATGTGTCAATCTTCCTTGATATGGCGCTCAACTCATTATTAGTTATTTTCTCTTCTTTAATTAGCTCTTCATATCTAAAATTTCAAAAATAAATTTTGATTAATAAGATACAAATCAATCCATATTAACCCTTTATTTTTCCTCTTATTTAAATTATTTCTCTTTTCATGTCATCTTCTCCACTTAACATTATTAACATTTATAAATAAAAGACTTGAGTTTCCCTGCCCCCAGACGGGCCCAGCTGCTCCACACGCCTGCCTCTGGAGTCCCCCAGTCCCCTCAGACCCCCAGCCACACAGGGCCGTCCTGAGGTGCAGGCAAGCCTTGGATGTTGGCTGCCCAGCTGCCCAGGGCCGCCCGAGGCTCAGGTAATCAGGGCCAGCCGAGGCTTGTGCTGCCAGCAGTGGCAGCAGCAGCGGTATGATGGGGGCATCGCCTTTCCCCTGATCTCTGGGTCGCCTCCTGCCCCTGAGGGCTCCCAGACTGTGAGAGGGGGCAGGCCGAGCTGAAGGACTGCCCCCCTCGAGTGCATGAATTTTCATGCACCAGGCCTCTAGTAATATATAAAAAATAAACTAGTTCATAATAAAAAAAAAAAAGACTTGAGTTTCCTCAGAGCATAAGACAATCTTTTAAATTCTTATCTGAGATTTTATAGTGTCGATATATAAATGAACATTCACTTTAAACATGAAAAGCAATCTATAACTTAAAACAAAATTAGAAAAGTATTGTTGCCTTTGTGTAAGACTAATGTTAAATATATAACAATAAAATGGTTTATATATAACAACCTAGTGGAGAGTTATTGGAAATATATATGTCAATAATTTTATATTAAAATGTGTTTAAAACATACATCAATCTCTGCTCCTCCTTAAAAGTGTTAATTGCATTTTCGATTTCTTCCATCATTTCTCTGAGCTTTTCAACAACTATAAAAAAAACAGAAAAATTATATCATTTCAGTATGACTAAGAATTAAATATTAGGGAAAAATGGACTGTTCCCTTAATTTAAAAATATTTCTTAGCCTAAAGGATAAGAAAAATGTAATTATACAAAGCTAATTTTTATGATTATAATTTTTTATTACAAATTTTTCCCTATGTACATATATCATTAAATATTATTATTATTTACCAAAAATGTTTCATACAACATATATTGTTTTGTAACTTGCAGTTTTTATTTAACAAAATGCTGTGGTTAACTAACATTTCATTATCTAAGTCTATCCTAATTCATTAAGTAATTCTCCAATAATCAACCTTTAAATAGATGCAGTACTGTAATAAATATCTTTGCATGTATTTTTGTACATGCTCAAATAAGTATTTTTAGAGGATAACTGATGAAAGTTGAAATGCTAAATAAAAAAGTATGCTTATTTTCCAATATGCTAGATACCATCACATTATCCTTCAAAGAAGCTCCACCAACTTACAGGTCCTGACAATGCTCATTCCCAGGAACTTTTAATCATTTCCAATATGAAAGGCAAACATTTATCATCCCTGATTTAATGGACATTTTTTGTGATCTTTAATAAGCCTTTTCTCGTTTTGTATTTCTCTCACTGTAAAATGGACCTTATTATCTTTGCCCATTTTTCTATTAGGTTATTTACCTTTGTTTCTCTAATTTGTAGGCACTCTTTATATATTACTAGAGGCCTGGTGCACGAAATTAGTGCACAGGTAGGATCCCTAGACCTGGCTGGCGATTAGGGCCAATCAGGACTTTCCGGCTTCCAGCTGGTGCTTTCCTTCCCTGGCTGCCAGCTGCCAGCCAGGGCCTTCCTTTGTTCCACGCCGCCCCCAGTGGTCAGTGCACATCATAGCAAGTGATCGAACTCCTGGTCTCCCAGTTGAACTCCTGACTCCCAAGGCGACACTTTGCATATTAGCCTTTCATATATTTATATATTTACATATATAGATGTATATTAGCTTTTTAAGTTACATATGTCACTAATATTTTCCTGTCTTTCAACTTTGCTTATATAGGGTTTGTGGGCTTTTTTTGGTATTTTGTTTTTTTAAGCCGTCAATTTTGCCCACTTTTTTCTTTATGTTTTCTGATCTTTGTCATTCTTATAAATTATAATCCTATATAATACAAGCCTAATATGCAAATCGACTGAACAGCAGAATGACTGGTGGAACGACTGGTCACAATGATGCGCACTGACCACCAGGGGGCAGATACTCAATGCAGGAGCTGCCCCCTGGTGGTCAGTGTGCTCCCACAGGAGGAGTGCTGCTCAGCCAGAGCCGGGCTCACGGCTGGTGAGCGCAGTGGCAGTGGCCAGAACCTCTCCCACCTCCGTGGCAGTGCTAGGGAGCAGCCAGCTGAGTGGTACAGAGTAGCGAGCAGGCGGGAGGGAGTAAGGAGTGAGGGCTCCCAGACTGTGAGAGGGATATCTGACTGCTGGCTTAGGGCTGCTCCCCACAGGGAGTGGGCCTAAGCTGGCAGGCGGACACTCCCTGAGGGCTCCCGGACTACGAGAGGACACAGGTCAGGCTGAGGGATCCCCTACCCTGCACGAATTTCATGCATTGGGCCTCTAGTACAATTATAAAAATATTAGCCCATGTTCTCTTCTATTATTTTTATGGTTTCATGTATTAATTTAACAAACTATAATATTCATATTTGCCATTTTTAGTGCTTCCTAAACTATAAACACAGCACAAGTGCTTTATGTACACTGTCTTACTTCATCCCCCAACAACCCTGAGTTAGGTCCTCTGGTTATTTTCATTTTAGAGCTGAGAAATGAAAGCTAAGAAAAATCAAGTAACTTGCCTAAAATCACATAACTGGTAGATCAAGAATTTGACTCAACATCTGTTTGATTCTTAAAATCTATTCATCTTGAGCACTTTACTGTTTCTCTCTAACATAGATGTCTCTCTCTCTCTCTCTCTCTCTCTCTCTCTCTCAAAATCAATAGAAACATACCTTCAGGTGAGGATGTGAGGATTTTTTAAAAACGCTATACATTTTTATAAATTATAGAGTGGACAGAACAGATATTAGGGTCATTTACAGGATGAAGAATCGGTGGTAATGAAAGATTCATATGCAGTCAATAAAGAGGAAAAAAGACTGATTTCCTGATTCTTAGCCTAGTGGTTTTCCCATCATTTGCTTTTTGAAATAATTGCCTTTTAAGGGCATTTCAAATGCCTAAAGAAATGGTTAAATAATATTAGGACAAATACTAGTCATTTGTAAAGAAATAAAATTGTATCCTTTCCTCTCTATGCAAACATAAGGAAATCAGTCTTTTTTCCTCTTCATCAACTGCATATGCAACCTGGGTATGTGCTCTTACAGGGAATCAAACCTGCAACCTTTTGGTGTACAGGACAATGCTCCAACCAACTGAGCTAGGGCAGGATTTATAGCATTTTAAAGATAAAAAGCTATGTAAACATCAGATAATACAGTTCTCTAATGTATTCTTATCAATCCCTAACCAATAAAGTGGGGCTTAGTTCCATTAATGCTAAAGAGACAAATTCTTATTAGAAAAGTAAAAATGTTTCTAATGAACAATAAAAATACTAATATGTAAGAATATAAAATCTAAATGTACTTACAACTAGGTGTAGGCTTCACATCTTTTAACTGATGCTGAAGTTTCTTTACATTATTATGTATTTTGGCCAATTGTTGCTGAATTTTTGATCCTATAAGGAAGAAGAATGTACTTTAAAATAATTCTATGACAAACATGGTTACAGTTCAGGATTCTACACCTGAGACAGCACATCTTCACTTAGTAAAAGATAGCCAAGAGAAATTAAATAATGAACAAAAGATGGTTACTTAAGTGTCAATACAGCCTGAACCTTTTAATAAGTACCCTTGCTCTAAATAAAGCATCTCTCAATTTCCTCCAATATTTAAAAGCACAATGGGGTAAATCTTACTATAGCCTGTGCCAAGGAAATGTCTTTTTCTTTACTCTGTGGAGATTGAGTTATTGGACACTCTTTTAAATACATGGATCAGTAGCTTAGGCTTAATCGTATTTTATTCTTCAACAGAGTTTTCTTTTCTTTTTAATTTGTTATAATTTTATGGGAATAGAATTTGGAATAGATCTCAACTCTATTTTTAGAATATTAAAACTGAATATTAATTCTATGAATACTGACAAACTTCCTAATGAGAATTAATTTCATCTAACCACATCTTAGAGTGACTGACTGTCACAGACTTGACAAAGTGCTTTCAGGTGCCATTCAGTGATATCTACATTATAGGATGCCAAGCTCATCCCAAGGATCAGCCTGAAAATGTTGGGCCCACAATAAAAGCCTGAAAAACGGAGGAGGGTCTCAAACACTTTTTCAGATGTTTTGTATCAGCAGCAGAAATCCTAGATTCCTCTTTTGAGTTTTCCTTCTGAAGTAATAATCTTACTTTCGTATTTATTTCAATTATATAGACTAAAATCATATATTTACATTCCTACATCTATATTTGTGTAATATATAATAGTAATATTATTTTATCATCTTTGGGTACTTTATTATGCCCCTCTATTTTTTTAATGCTTCACAAATCAGCATGAAAAACCAAACAGTTCTGTCCAAAAGTCTTTAAAATAATTTTTTTTAAAAAAAGGTTACCAGTAGGCCTGGAACCAATGCTAATATTCAAAACAAACCTCAAATATGTTTATGTGACTTTGGCTTGTTATTTCTTAATTAAAATTCAAGTGTTCCAGAAGAGCAGAAACTTTATCCAATGTATTTTTATAGGATAAAAATTATCCTATAAAAAGTCTTATTCACTGTTGGAACTTTAAATCAAGAAACTTCTCTAGTAATGTAATCAATTAGGAGTGTGTGTGTGTGTGTGTTGTTGTTGTTGTTTTTTGCCATAGTTTGATCAGTTACAGTAACATCTCTATAGGGCAAGTAATCTTTTATTTCTTCATTTGGAACTGCCACTCTATTAGGCAAACCATTAAAGTTCAAACCATTTAAATACATAAATGCAGGCTAATATTGTGGCATGATGTTTGAGGTAAGGAAAAGAAATTTACTACTTCTGGGCTGTAATAGGGGAGGGAAAGCCTCTATATCCTTATATTAAGTGCATTCCTTCCTCTCCTTGATAAGACAAACACAAAGTGTTAATACAGAGAGGCAAAAGTATAGCAGAAAAGAATAAAAAGATAAAAATAAAGTTGCCTTAAAAAGAGAAAATGAAGTGACTTAAAATGCAGAGAATGGAGACACTATACATAGTAGCACAACTGAGAGATATAAAGATCAGCTTCTCAGTGTCTATAAAAGAATGGAGGGAATTTAAGAAATATCAAACTAGGGATATTTAGTTTTCTCTATGAATCAAAGAGGAGAACTGAAAATCTGGTTTTACATTAGGTCCTGTTGTCATTCAAATAGAAGAGGGAGAATGATTCTTGCCAGTACCCAACAAAAGATGACTTTTAAAATAGTGCAATCTTATGTTCTGAAAGAAAAAAATTATTAAGAATTTCTTTTAATTGGCTAGAAGGGATTTATAAATCAGTATTTTATAAAGCTTAGTTAGTTGATAACCATTATTTTTCCTTTAAACAATGCTAAGCAATTTTTTATTATTATAACCTAAGAATTTTTCAACATACTCTTCAATAAAAGAAGGTATTTTTGTAGAATTCTTTAAGACCAACATTTAGTACACTATAAACAATGACTGATATTCATAGCAAACAATAAAACATTTTCTGTGTAATCTATAAGGCACTTTTTCATATATTATCTCATGGGATATACAGAACAACTGCCCTGAGGTAGAAATGGTGGGTGTTGTATCACAGACAAATACACTCAAGTTTACAGGATTATGTGACCTGATCACTTCATACTGTTATGATGAGCTAAGACCAGATAACCCAGGAATTAATTTCTTTTAAGAAATTTTAATAACATTATTTAGTTTGTCAACCAAAAAACAAAACCCTCTTTTTCCTATTAAATTGAGAGAAATACACACAGAAAACAATCCAGCTAGAATCACTAAATAGTAACCTGACAAAATAAATACATATCCCTAAAAAACAAACGCATTACTAACTAGAAAGTGTCTTGATAGAAAACATAAGTCAATGCACAGATACAAAGCACAGGGCAAAACTACAACTTTATGTCACTTAACAGTTTTTGTTCATCATGAGCTCAACTTACTTTCTGTTTTCCTGCTGTTAATCAATTTATTTTCCAATTCTTCCAGCATACTATGCTCAATTCTGAAGTCACTTTTTTGGTTGTAGAAATGACTGTGTTTATCTTTTTCTATGTTAATAACTCTTTAGAAAAAGAAATAAATGGTATAAATATGACTTAAATATATTTTTAATTGTTTAAAATATGAAGACACTTACAATAATCAGAACTTTATATTTGAATTCATTCATCTAAGGAGTCAAAATATAATGACTTGAATAATAAGGCTAAGGAGTCAAAATAGTAGCTAGAAAAGAGTTAAGTTCAACTAACACAAGTAATTTGAATTATTTAAATTATAAAATGTTAATTTAAAAAAATGCAGACTTGCTTTTAAAATACATAAACCTTTGACTGTTGATTCCAACTCAATCTCCCTGTGCCTGAAAGTGGCTGCCACTGGTGATGGCTGCTTTCAGTAGAAGATACTGTTAACTTTATAACCTGAACCAAGACATTTACCCTTCGTCACTAAAATGTGAGTAATAGTTCTCCACTACCCAACAGGGCTGTAATTTCATTATATGAGACAACAGGTATGAGGGATCTTTATACAGTAAAAATGTGCTATGGAAATGCAAGTCATTAATATTATTAATACAACTAAAACTTCAAGAGGCGAACAATCTAAGAAATTTTATTGTGTTTAAGGGATACTGTCTACATTTACTTCAAAGCTTCTTTGATTTAGTTCATCTACCAGTAAGAAGGTCTGTTAGTTTGAATCCTGGGGTAAAACAAAATAAACACTGTACTGACAAGATGCTTTTTTTGTTGGACAAAATAATTTATTTTCTTAATACCTGTTCTCTTTCTCCCAGAAGGTGGAAATTAATATGAATACATCTCTACTAATCCTGGATTTAAGGAGTGGTGGAGTATCTCTAGCCATTGACTTACTTTCATATAACTCGAGGGACAACTATCTAAGGTAGAGTTCCCAATCTTTTTCACTTTGGCACACATAGAGAAAAATTTGATATTCATAAGGCATACTTGGAAAAACAGATGAGACTGCTGCAGGCCCTACCTGGCCGCCCCAAACACTGAGGGGATCATAATTTAGCACTTGTGTTTCAGAGAGGAAGCAATGAGTAGAACAGAGATGTCAAATAGATTTCAGCCTGCAGGTCAACTCTAATGGATTGATGGTGGCTACTGGAGTCCTGTGCTGAGAACTGAGAAGCCCATCTAGGCTCCAACTGGGGATGGGGAAATTACTATGATCAAATAGAAATTTCTAGCATTGACACAGGATGTACTATGACAGTAAGTAAGTTATATTTTGCCATTCCTGGGTTAGAAATATTAACCCATAAAGACGTTAAAAAGATAATAATGGAGACAAATTGCCAAACATATGAAAAGATGATCAACCTCACTCACAATAGAAGAAATGAAAATTAAAACTATACCATGGCAACATTGTTCACCTATCAGACTGGCAAAAAAAATCACAAGTTTAAATAATATATTCTAATGGTAAAACTGTGGGAAAATAGGTCCTCTCATACATTGTCGGTGAAATCGTAAATTGTCTATGGAGGACAATTTGGCAATATATCAGTGCATATTCATATAACTTTGACCCAGAATTTCTACTTCTGGGAATATTTCCCAAAGATACACCCACACATATGCAAAATGATGTGGACCTATGTGAATATGGCAATTAATTGCAGCACTGTTTGTTATAATAAAAGATTGACTATAACCTAAATGTCCATCACTAAGGGGTAGGTTAAATAAATTATGTCACAATTATAATTTATTTAACCTGGAATACAATGCAGTGGTACTGTGTTCCATGTACTGATAAGGAAGGATTTCCACTACACACACTTTTTATAACAAAGAATTTATATGACAATGTTAGTCATACCCAAAAGTAGAAAATGCTAAATTGTATACCTTCAAATGATATTATTCCCCTCATATCAGTCTGATTCAACAATTTTACCTCTTCTTCCTCTCTTGGCTCATCTATCTTTTTACTTTTTGCTAAGTATTCTAAATTAAACCCATTTCATTCTTTAATTTCACCCCAACATACTTCAGTGTGCATCTCTAGAGATTATGGATATTTGACTTACATCACTATAATGCCACTCTCATGCCTGACAAGGTACAATCCCTTACTATCTAAGATATACTCTTAAGTTAAAACAAAACACAACAATACACAAGATCCAGAACAGATGTTAAAATTTATATAAAAAAGACAAACTATGAATATGTACTTTTATTTCTTTATAAGCACAGATTATAAAATATCTGTGATACGATACACAAGAAACTAAAAATAGTGGTTGTTTGAGAGGAGGGGAAGTAGATAGCTGGGGTCATGGGCGAAACAGACTTTTCACTGTGTACCCTTTGATATGTATTGAATTTTAAACCACGTGAATGTTTTATCTATTCTGAAAATAAAACAGAGTTATTACAAATTGTGTTTTGTTTTTTCTTTGTATGCAATGAGAATTGCTGGATAGAAATATTCTTCCAATGGATTTTTATCACATTCTCCCAATGAGTTTTTCCAAAACCTCTTAACAGATGAAGAAAACCTACTCAGAGCTGTAAAACCAGCACATACTGGTAGACAAGGAACAAGACCGGCATTATCTACCGGTTTGCTATATATATGGACATTAACTTCCTGGTAGATTACCTGTTGAGAGAGAAACATAACCCAGAACCCTTAACCAAGAGTCTAATGCTATCCAAGGTAATACATTTTGGAAATCAAAGAAAATAAAACTGTATTTTCTCAAATTCTGAGTATTAAAAGTAGTATATAAGTATTATATAAATGCAATTGAGAATTCAGTGTCCCAAAGCTATAGTACAGTACAACTTTCCAAATTTCCAACAGTATTACTTTTTCATTGGTAGAATTTCTAAACAGACCACTGCCACTAATTCTAGTCCAGAGACCATTTTTTACAAGTCTCCTTTCCTCTGGGTTCTTTAGCAAATTGATACTTTATAATTTCAAAGAAGTGTTTTTGACATACTTCTCAATTGTAGGGTAGTGTTGACTGCTCTGAGTTCTAATTCTTTTATCATTCCTCATGATATATATAACACTGAACATTCAATATAGGGCATCCCATAAAATATACACATATATTTTTGACAGCTCAATTGATGTTTCTTTCTCTTCAGATTTAACCCATTGGAATTAATAATTACTCAAAGTGTGTATACATTTGGGGGGGGGGGGCCACCCTGTACATATCACTAGTTATTTAAAGAAAAAATACAAATACACCACAAATTAAAAGTTCTCAGCCTAATCATTATGTGCAGGATGGATCTGAAAGGGACAGAAACCATGAGAGGGAGACCAAATAAAACGACATTTCAAAAAATAACTCGAGGTAGAGACTTTTCATTAAAATTGTTCACTCACTCAAAAATATTTACCAAATGCTAACCTTGGTAAGTGAAAAATATTCAATCTGTTATTTGATATATGAGATCTAAAGAAATAACTATATTGTCTCCTTTGAAAGACACTGGTTCAAATGGTAAAAATAAATAAAATTCAAATAACTGCACTTAAAATTAACTTTATATTAAATAGTCTCTTATCATTTGTCTATTGTACACACTCCACCTTTCTCTAATGACCAATTTTTTGTAACTTAATGTGGAGATTGGACAGGGTGGAGTAGAATTAACTTTATACATTGTTCATAATAAAATGACTAGTAATGTTATTTGAAAACAGTGTTTTTATACTTACAGATTTTTAAATTTTTCTGCTGTGCGTATGAATTCGGCTTTCTTAGGCTGACTAACTTTCTGTTTCCAGTTGTGAAGCTGAAAAGAACGAATTCCACTTGAAGTACCAAAACAGCCATCATTCTGCATTAAAAAAAGAAAGAAGTTTATCCTCAATAATAAAAATGGTAAAAGATGAAGGTGGAATTTTTTTCAGAGATGAAATGTCAATGATGGAGTTTCTCAGGGGATAATTTTATCCATTCATCCATTGATGGCTACTGTAAATAAAGTTACAATGAACATGGGGTGCATATATCTATCCAAGTTAATGTTTTCGTTTCCTTTGGATAAATGCCTAGAAGTGGAATTACTGGATCATATAGTAGTCCTATTTTTAATTTTTCGAGGAACCTTTGTACTATTTTCCATAGTGCTGCACCAATTCCCATCAATAGTGCACAAGGGTTCCTTTTTTTCCACTTCCTTACCAACACTTGTTGTTTCTTGTCTCTTTGGTAGTAGCCATTCTAACAAGTGTAAGGTAATATCTTATTATAGTTTTGATTTGTATTTCCCTGATTAGTGATGTTGAGTACCTTTTCATGTACCTGTCAATTTGTTTCCTTTTCCCATTTTTTAAATTGTATTGGTTTTCCGCTATTGAGTTGTATGAGTTCTTTATGTATTTTGGATATTAACCCCTTATAAAATATATGATTTGTAAATATTTTCTCCCATTCAGTAGGTTACCTTTTCATTTTGTTGATAGTTTCCTTTGCTATGTAGAAGCTTTTTGTTTGATGTAGTGTCTTTACTTTTAGAGAATAATTTTGCTGGACATAGATATTTTGGTTGACAGTTCTTTTCTTTCAGCATTTTGACTGTCATCCCACTGCCTTCTGAAGTCCAAGGTTTCTAATGAGAAATCAGCCATTAACTTACTGAGGATCCCTTGTATGTGTTGGGTTGCTTTCAATATTTTGTTTTTGTCTTTCTACAGTTTGATTATGATGTGTTTAGGTATGGATCTCTGAGTTTATTCTGTTTGGAGTTTGCTGAGTTCTGACAACATATAAGTCAATATTTTTCATCAAATTTGGAAAGTTTTTAGTTATTATTTCTTCAAATATTCTTCTCTTTCCTCTTTTCTCCTCTCCTTCTGCGACTCTCATCCTATATAATAAAAGCCTAATATGCAAATTGACCAAATGGCAGAATGACCAGTGGAACAACCAGTCACTATGACAAGCACTGACCACCAGGGGGCAGATGCTCAACGCGGGAGCTGCCCCCAGCCCTCAGGCCCCAGGACAGCCAAGGCGATGTGAGCGGGGTTCCCTTGATTGCCCCACCGGTCACCCCGCAGAGGGAAGTGACCGGCGGTGGCGGGGGGCAGGGCCGGCAAGCAGGTGCTGCCAGGCTGGCCAAGGAGAATTCCGGCAGGTGCCAGCGGAGGCCCCCTGATCGCCCCACTGGTCACCCCACAGATGGGCCCTAATTACCAGCCAGGCCTAAGGACCCTACCCATGCATGAATTTCATGCACGGGGCCTCTAGTTATACATAATGCTTAATGGTGCCTAACAGATCTCTGAGGCTCTGTTCATTTTACTTTCTTTTTTTTTTAATCCTCACCCAAGGACATGCTTAGAGAGAAAGGGAGGGAAGAAGGGAGGGAGATGGAGAGAGACTGAGAGAGAGAGGAGAGAAGAGAGACATCGAAGTGAGAGAGAAACATCAATCGGTTGTCTTCCCACCCAACCAGTGTGGCTCAGTGGTTGAGCATGAACCAGGAGGCTCGTGGTTCGATTCCCAGTCAGGGCACATGCCTGGGTTGTGGGCTAGATCCCCAGTGTGGGACTTGCATGAGGCAGCCGATCAATGATTAGCTCTCGTCATTGATGTTTCTCTCTCCCTCTCCCTCTCTCTCTCTGAAATAAATAAAAACATATTTTAAAAAAATCGGTTGCCATTGATCCCACTGCTAGGAATATATCTCAAGAAACCAGAAACACCAATCAGAAAGGATATATGCATCCCTATGTTCATAGCAGCACAATTTACCATAGCTAAGATTTGGAAACAACCTAGTGGCCATCAACGGATGAATGGATTAGAAAACTGTGGTACATATACACAATGGAATACTATGCTGCTATAAAAAAGGAATTCTTACCATTTGCAACAGCATGGATGGAACTGGAGAGCATTATGCTAAGTGAAATAAGCCAGTCAGTGAAAGAAAAATACCACATGATCTCACTCATTTATGGATAATAAAGACCATTATAAACTGATGAACAAAAATAGATACAGAGGCAGAGCAGCATTAAACAGACTGTCAAACTACAGCAGGAAGGCTGGGGAGGGTTGAGGGGGTAAGAGATCAACCAAAGGACTTGTATGCATGCATATAAGCATAACCAATGGACAAAAGACACTGGGGGGGTAGGGGAGGCTGGGGGAAGGTCAAGGGGGGAAAAAAGAGACAAATGTACTACTTGTTGTAATATTTTAAGCAATAAAAAAAAAATAAAAAAAAATCTGTTGCCTTCTGTACCTGCCTGATCAGGGACTGAACCCACAACCCAGGTATGTGCCCTGACCGGGAATCAAACCAGCAACTTTTCAGTGCATAATACGACACTCAGCCAAGTGAGCCACTCTGGTCGGCTGTTCATTTTTCTTCATTCTTTTTGTTCCTCAGTCTGGACAATCTGAATTTACCTATCTTCAATTTATTGATTCTTCTACCAGCTCTAATCTAATGTTGAGTCCCTCTAGTAAATTTTTCATGTGAGTTATTGTACTTTTTAATTCCAGAATTTCTATTTAATTCCTTTGTTATAATTTTTATCTCTTTAAGATATTTTCTATTTGGTGAGACATAGTTCTCACACTTTATTTTAGTTCTTTAACATAATTACCGTAAAACAGGTGATTTAAAGTCTTTGTCTATTATGTCCAACATGTAGTCTTCCTTAGGGAAGTCTACCTTACTACCTTTTAAAAAAATTATCCTGTGTGTGGATCATATTTTCTTGTTTCTTTGTTTACTTCATTTGTTGTTGTTAAAAACTGGACATGTTAAATAACATAATGTGGCAACTCTGAAAATGAGATTCTCTCCCCCCAAAGAGTTGTTGTTGCTGTTTGTTTAGTTACTTTCCTGAACTAATTCAGTAAAGTATGTTTGCATGGCACCTGAACTCTCTGCGTGGTTAGCTTAGTTGTCACTAATGGCTGGTTGGTCAGAGATTTTCTTAGATGTCTTGAACGAATAAGTCTCTTAGACTTTGCTGAGGTGGGTCTATGTGCATGCCAGGCATGCCCTCAACACTTGTACAAGCAGTTTATACCTCTGCCTTAGCCTTTACTTCTTTTTGCAAAGAGTTTCAAGGTCAGCCAGAAATTAAATCTTAGGCCAAAGTTCTTCTCTGGCATATTAGTTTCCTGTTGCTACTATAACAAACTTATCACAAACTTAGTGGCTTAAACAACAAATTTTATTTTTTTACCGTTCTGGAGGTCAAAAGTAAAATTAAGATGTTGGTAGGACTGCCTTCTTTTTGGAGGCTTCAGGGAGAATGCACTTCCTTACCCATTTTCTGGCTTTTAGAGGCTACCTTCATTCCTTAGCTCCTGATCCCTTCCTCAAATCACTTCATCCTCTCGCTTCCATCATCACATCTCCTACCACTGGCTCTGATCTTCCTGCCTCCCTCTCATAAGGACCTTTGTGAACACACTGGCCCAGCCAGATAATCCAGGGTAATCTCTCCATTTCAAGACCTGAAGTCAATCATGTCTGCAAAGGATGTGACTATCTCTGGTAGGGGGTGGTGTGCATTCTCCAGGCTGTTACACCCGAACATACACGCAGTCCTATGGTTGTGTGTGATCTTCTAGAAGAAATCCGTTTTGAGTAATCATTTGAAGTCAGAGAAGAAATGTAGTTATTACTGAAAGACTACTCCAGGCAGCCAAGTATCATAAAATATAGGCCATAACAGGGAGGTCACTAGAAACAAAACAACAACAAAAATACAACGAAACAGAAGATGCAGCCCCATCCTAGCACAAAACCATGACGTACACTATTAGAGATATTTCTAAAAAGTCACAATTCAACAGCTAAAATGATCAAGTGTGATATGGCATTTGAGAGGAGGATAAAGATATTTGTAATTTTCAGTTTTGGAAGGCAATGGCTGAGGGGAATTGTAAAATAATATACAAATATTAAAAAGCATAGATAGAGTACATTATTATTTTTCATAATAGGTGAGAATTTTATGGGATTCCACAACCTACAAAGGTTATAGAATAAAATACAATATAAAATGTTTCTAAAACTTCAAAGATAATCACTTCAATATAATTTAAGGAAACTGTTATGCACTGAATTATGTTGTTTCCCCCCCTCCCAAATTCATATCTTGAAGCCCTAACTTCCTTTGTAACTATAGTTGGAGATAGAGCCTTTAAGAAGATAATTAAGGTTAAATGAGGTCATAAGGATGGGGTCCTAATCCAATAGGACTGGTACGCTAATAATAATAATAAGAGATGACACTAGAGAGCTCTCTCTCTCTCTCTCTCTCTCTCTCTCTCTCTCTCTCTCTCTCTCCCCCCTCCTCCCCCTCATGTGCACAGACATAGCAAGAAGGTGGCTGTCCACAAGCCTCTTTAAACCACCCAGTCTGTGATATTTTGTTATGGAGCCCTAAAAGACTAAAGCAGGAACTTTAGATATTTTGGTGGATATCTCTAATATCATGAGGTTGTCATCAGAAAACATTAGTTGGTCTCAGTGTTAGAGTCCATAGGAACATTCACTCATGCATATGACAATATTCAAGTTCAGTGTTAGGCTATAGAATTTGAGCATATCATTATGTGTATGGGGGAGGGGAGTACAAAGATGGATAACACATAGTTAAACTCCATACAAATCCACAATATAGTAGAGCAGAGATTCTAATTCCTTTTTTTAAACCCAAACACCCTTGAGGAGTTCTACCCCATTACCATTGCAACTATCAACTATAAGGCTCTGCATCCCCTAAAGTGGTGAGAGGATATAAAGCAGGTGTCTTAACCTCAGCACTATTAATATTTTGGACCAGATAATTTTTTGTTGTGAGGGGCTATTCTTTGGCCTCTACTTACTAGATCAGCTGTGGGGCAAACTACGGGCCGCGGGCCAGATCCAGCCCGTTTGAAATGAATAAAACTAAAAAAAAAAAAAAGACCGTACCCTTTTATGTAATGATGTTTACTTTGAATTTATATTAGTTCACACAAACACTCCATCCATGCTTTTGTTTCCGGGCCTCCGGTCCAGTTTAAGAACCCATTGTGGCCCTCGAGTCAAAAAGTTTGCCCACCCCTGCACTAGATGCTAGTAGAACACCAACCGTCCCTTAATCCCCCACAGCTGTGACAACCAAGAAATGTCTTCAGACATTGCAAAATGTTAGGGACCGAT